CTGCAGTCTGTCTCTAAGCTCCTTGGCAAATGCTGAGATATCCCAACTCCTATATTTATTCTGTTCACCTCAACATCTGGGTGCAAGCTCCCCTCGAGGCATTTCCACAGTGCAGCCAGGACCTGCTTTCTGCCCTTACAAAGGAGGTTAACATACTGAAGCTCAAGACACATCCTCCACATAAAATTCCACTCTTCATCAGTATGCTAGCAAGTAAACTTTAGCACATTAGTGAGTTGCCATTGCAATCAACAGATCTTGGCAGGCACATCATGGAATTTAATGCTGTAGCAATCCACTACTAAGTAAAATAGTTGTTAAGAAAGTAAAATGAGAAGTTGAGTACCACAGTAAACACTGTAATACTTTGTCCTATAGCTTCACATGCATACAGAAATATAAGCTGTTTCCAGGACTGCTGAAATGACTGAAGATACTCACATTTTATGCCTTAGACTAATTAGGAAGCTAATAACCCAATGTCACTTTGGCTCAGATTCAGTGAGGAAAATAGAGGAAACAATGTCTAATGAATGGAAAAGAATAGACAAAATTGAGATCAAATCGTTACTTTTAGCAAGTTTAAAAACTAGTATTATAAAATACTTCTCCATGGATGTCAGTCTGGTGCAAAAGAAGCAAAAAGTGGGGGAAGGAAAATGACAGCCCTCAAATGGATCAGCAAAAGAATCTGCTTCTTTCTTGGAGTACATGGAGTGCTAGAACAGAATTTCCTTGGAGCATTTTCAAAGCATCCAAGTTTCCAGCATGTCCATACATGTACCATTAACCTCCCAGAAGAGGAGGTTACTTAAGACTACCAATGTATCTTGTCCAATACGTAGCCCAGAGTCAGATCATCTCAACATGCTTTCGTCATCCTGGAAGGGTCAACACATAAGCATACCCCACAGGACGTATCTGGGGTGGCTGAAAGGAAAACAGTCACTTCCAGATAAAGTTTTGTGTTAGAAACTTTCACTACCGTGCACATCACTGTCACAGAAAAGACAGATCAACAAATGAGCCAAAGAGGCCATTAAATACTACTGAAAACCTCCCACAGCTACACCACCAGAAAAACCATGGACCCCATCTATTCTTATATAGCAGCACCACCTGGGCAAATACAGCTGGGAAGATCGATGGCAAAAACCCCATCAATTTTGTACTATTTTCTTTGCCTATGATTCTTCTGCACGACAGTCCTCATGTAGCAGGGGACATCTCACGTAGTCTGAATCCAGGCTACAGCACCATGAGCTGAGACTGAGAAATTCTACTGCTGCTGGAGAAAAGCAAGAGTGATAGGTGTCAGTAAAAACACCTACAGACCTCTTGAAATGCTAAAATACAGGCAAGCAAGCCATCATGTGAGATGGTGAAAGAGCCACTGGAGTCTGAGGCCTGTTTTGTAACAGATAAAATTTGTCTTGAACCGCTGTTTTACATGAGTAATACTTAAACTCACACCTTACAGTATTGAGGGATGCACAGAAAAGTTGTGGATGCACCACCCCTGGAAGTGTCCAAGGCCAGGTTGGATGGAGCTCTGACCAACCTGGTTTAGTGGAAGGTGTCTCTGCCCATGTCAGGGTGGTGGAACTGGATGATCTTTCCTTCCAGTCCAAGCCATTCTGGGATTCTATGCTATAATTAGTGAAAAATGTATGGCATCATCATGCCTTGGATAACACATAAAAGATACTTCTAACATTAAAATATGAAATAATAAGAGTAACTGATGCTATTAAATTACAAAAGTAAGTTTATTTTATCAACATTATAAATATTTTCTTTCCCTTCATTCAACTCCAAAATGAGATAGTAAACCAGTACAATGGAACAATTCAGGAGCTCCTCAGCTCTACTAAAAAAAGGTTTCCTTTAAGAACAAATTAAAATGGAAAATCACATTTTGTCAGTCCAGCAATCTCAGTAGCTGAGCATCCCTAGGTACTTTGTCATTCAAATGGCACAATTTTAAGTGTGTGTATATGTGTGTGCATCTATATATATGTATACTGATGTTTATAAATATACATATACATAGTAATATACACACACTAATAGACACAGCCACTGAACAGACACTTTTAGTAATCAAAATGCTTCTCATGTAATTTAAGTGGATTCACAGCTGCACACTGAAATTTGGGCCCTGCACAGTGCAGGCACAACTGGATCAATCTAGACCCCAAGTGCTCCAGAGATTCAACACAAAGGTCACCATTGACTGCTACAGAGTCTGCCTGCTTCTGGTGGCTGTCCAAAACTGAGAATCCCATCACACTTGAAAAAGAGTAAGGAATAATCCTGCAGCATCTTGGTCCCAAACTGCCCTCAGTGAACCAGCTTCTGATATTCCTTGCCATTGTAGAAAACAATATACATGCTGTGTTACCTACAAATACAACACACCACAAGTATCTCATGCATCATGTGTGCAGCACTTTGGAACAGCTTGAATATTAAAGGCACTACATAAAGCCAGTTCCTGTCCTAACTCCAGTGCTGGGGAGTGCTTTTATCATTATCCCATAATTTTATCATACAAGTAACTGAGCACACAGCATGGGCAGCTTTCCAGAGGCACAACGGGCTCACTGATCATATCATCATACTCCAGCTTCCAGGGAAAAAGGCAAGCCATGGTGTCTTGTGTGCTCTGAGTTCCTCTGAGCAGTCCAAATGGCACAAAATTGCTCAGGAAATCTGCACATCCTGTCAAGCTGCTCCAGAGCCAACCACAGCTGCAGCCGCCTCCCAGGCACTAGGGATCACCTGACAAGGGGGAGACCACTCGGGACGGAGAGGGACCAGACCCAGCTCCCTTGTCATAATTCCCCTGTGGCCTCTGGAAGCTACTTGTGATTAAAGCAAGCCTTTACTGCTCCACCTGTTTCATGGGACGAAAGGACCAGGGAGCTGTCACAGGCTCAATAACCACACTTTGCTCAGGCACCAGACCGGCCCCAGTACAGGACAGAGCTAAGCTCCTGCTTAGCTCTGTCATTAAAGCTTCCTCCGTTTCTCACATCAGTAAAACAAAGCAAAAAGGTAAAATTGATAGAAACATAATTCTTATTATCATCAAATATATAGAAATATTACAGTAATGTCTTTTCTCACTGCTGGGAGATGATGCAAGGCCTACCATGAAACCACAGCATGAGGATGTTCCCTGTGGAAATTTCACATACCACACCAAAATTATATTCTGATTTTTTATTTTAAAAGTTGCCAAATTCTGTTCTAATATATACAGTCTGACCTTCTCCACAAGCCCACGGATGATTACCAAGAGAAGGAATTTGGCTTTCATATTTTATTTTTTAAACGAGAAAGATAAGGACAGAAAATAAGACAAAATACATTTCATGTCACCACTGACCTATAGATTACAAATATATATATAGTTTCCTTCCAGAGGAAGAAATACTAAGGAAATATTTTGCTCATATCAAATGAACCTTTGAAAACAGAAAAAAAATTCAAAGTATACTTTTCAGCTCCTCCCTCTCTACCACAACAATCACTCGTTTGGAAAAAAAAAAAAAAAAAAAAAAAAAAAAAAAAAAAAAAAAAAAAAAAAAAAAAAAAAAAAGGAAAAGAAAAAGAAAATAAATACATTTAATTTCCTTCACTTCTAGCAAGGAAGAAAAACTTATCTGGATAATGACCTGAGTTATTTTCATGGTTTCCAAATGTATGTAATCCTGATGATCACCATCTACCAGAGAGCTACACCTAGCAAGGCATGTGAAAGCAAACACTGGTGGATTCTTCAAAACAAACAACAAAGCAAAATTCAAAAATGTTTTACAAGAATTATACCAAAACTCAGTCATGAGTATCTTCATGGGAACTGGTCAGACAAAGTAGAAGTGGAAGCTCTGTTATTTCTGGCAGCTGAGATATCTGCAGCAATTGGAAACCCAAAGGTGGAACATTTTGTTTATGCCTGTGTGTATGTGTGTTTGGTTTCTCTTCTTTTATGGTTATAAGACAGAGAGCAGACAAGTAATGAAGACAGAGTGGGCCTTTACAGTGGCTAAGCTTTACATTTTCAAGCCTATGGTGGGTAATGAGTAAAGGAGCTGCAGCTTGTCCTTCTCCAGTGCGAAAGACTCCCTGAACCTTTGTTCCCTTGAAGAATCAGATAGTTTACAGCTTCAGTCAAAGAAGACTTTCCTATTCCACGTGCGACCAGGCCAGTGCCCATTTGCTTGCTGGCAGCAGCAAGGCTAATCGATGATGTTCTAGGTGTCCTTCCTACCTCTAGCTGTAATGCAAAGGGCACTGAGTCCATGAATCAGTCCATCAGAACTCCCTCAGTCTTGCACAAATCTCTCTCCAGTGTAAAACCCATCTTTTGGAGAGTAAAGAACCACTATCAGCTTTTAGGCAGGCCTGAAAGCTGAGCAGAACTGGATCAGTCATTGCACACACACAAAAGTAATACGAGCAACCTTACTAGTATCTTTCTGCTCTGCCATTCGACAAGATATGTCCCATATAACTCCTTTCCATACCAATTACTGCCTCATGAGGCTACCATAACCATATACCCAGCAACAACGAGGTTAGGTTTCGTCACTGCTGTAAATTTAATTGTGCCCCACACCCTGGGAAACAAGGCAACAGGCAGCATCCTCTCCTAAAGCAAGGGAACTCCATGGCAATGGAGCTACTGAGGATGCAGCTTTTGAGAGGATGGCAAGGGAGGGAGTGTAGCTGGTAAAAACACTGGACTTTTCCTAAGGGCATCCAGAGCTCCTCAAATATTTTGCTACTGCCTGACCATTTGTGAATAAAACACAGAGATAACAGGTACTATTTAACCAATGAGAAGTAAGGGGAACAGGAGAATAAAAGGAATACAGGAAACTGTAAGGATGGAGGAGGGCTTCATTGGGTGCTTTAATGTCCCAGTTAGTTTGGAGTTTTGTTCCCCCACACCCTCTTAAGTCTTTCCTTCTTTTTTTTTTTTTTTTTGATCTTCCTCTTCCTTTTTTAAATAAATTGTACAGATGAACATGGGAGAAGTTCATGCTACTTGCTGGAAGCAATAAAGGTAAATTTCCGTGGCCCATGGATTCCACAGACCTTTGAGTGTCCCACCTCATCCATCATGGGCTAACTTATGGAACCTAACCATTCTGTGGCAAGACTCAGTAGCCCTTAGAAACTGGTGGCATGTCCTCAGGTATTTTCCACTAGAGTGAGAGACACGTTGATTCCATCAGCTTCTTTCTCACACCATGCCTGAGAGCCTCAGGTGAAGCCTCGAGATTTCCAGCGATCCTCTTTGACATTTTCAGACATCAGACTGCTGTCTCTAGGTCCTCATGGGAAACCATTTGGTAGTTTTGTCGACTCTCCAGGTAGGAAGCCAGATCTGGATCACCAGCTTGCTGAGCCCTGTCACGAGGGGTCTTACCCTAGAATAAGGAACAGAAAGAGAAAGTCTTGTGCTAATATATTTAGAAGCACAGATGATTTCTGGGCAGAAGAAGATTAATAAGTCAGAAGCCACTTGTCTGGATTTCAGCTGTTTCAGAAAGCTTTTTGCAATGTACAGTACTGTCATCTGAAAAAGAGATCAGAGAATCATAGATGATCTCTCTTCCCCTTATAGGCTACCCCATGCAGTATAACATAGTAGGAATTGTTTTTGAATGCCTTGCTACAGCAAAGATGATTCTGGAACCCAGAGAACCGACCCATTCTCAGTTGCTGACCACTAGATGTTTATGCTCAGAAATTCCAGAGAGGCAGCTTCTGGACCATGTTCCTAAGCAATCAGATTGTTTTAATGACAGAATATTCCTCAAATTTAATTTTGCCTGGACTTCTTTCTCAATCAAGCTTACACCAAGAGAGGGTTGTCGTTAGTGTCCCATTATGAGCACAGGGGCAAGGCAGGGCAAAAGAAAATAGTAAGCCATCCTCACAAAGCGAGTCAGCCACAATAATCAAGCCTCAAAGAAGCTATGCAATCTGAAATCAAGGCTCCTGCAGGTGGTCCTTGCCCACAGGCCTCTCTTTTGACCACACAGAAGGAGGATACTGCTGTGCCATGGAGATATCTCATTCATACCCAATGCACCGAATAGTTTGAGGCCAGGCTCTCCCTGTGGTGATGATGACCCATGTTGGGGACTGAACTGAAGTCTCTTGTACTTGTTTAAATCAATACAGTTTTCTATTAAAAAAATGGCTTGTTTGAAAAGAGCTGCTCTTGGCACACACTAGGCAGCCTCAATCATGCAAACAGCAGGGACGGATGCTGATTGGTCTCGCTTGGCTGCAGTATTTTATAAGTGGTTGATGGAGCTGGGTTACCTTGGAGTCTGTCTTTCTCAGAGAAGCTCCCGCATCCACCAGGAGCTGGCAGACGGCACGGTGGCGCTGGCAGGCTGCCTTATGTAATGCTGTCTCACCCCTAGACCAAAGTACAGAAACCAGCAGTGAGACACATCACACCAATGTACATTTACGAAGTATGAGGTGCAGAGGATAGACACAGAAGGATGCTGCATTTCTGCGAGGTTCCCTCTTGCTGGCAGAGGTAGACTTGTGCACTCTCTCCCTTAGCATCTACATCCTTTGACTCAGTAGGAAAGCCTGCAATGCACAAATAGCAGACGAAGAACTCTGAGGGGTGGGAAAGAAACATGCACAGATTTTAAGTATTCAAAGGACTGAATGTCACATTCCCGTCCAAACACCAGTTCTGCTAACTGCTGCAAAGGCAAACTAGCTCTCTTCTTATTTCACAGCAGGTAAAACAGCAACAGTGTTTGTTTCTTCCTGCAGTTTGTCACCTAACCTCATTCTCAGACTCACCCTAGAAAAATCTTGCCCATCAAAACTAAGAATGGTACGCTTGCTGCCCTGGTTCTGATACCCTGACCTCTTTGATGTATGAGAGCTACTGGTGAGCTACTGGGAAAGCTTGAACACACGTTTTTCAAAAGAGAGCACTGTGTAGCGGGAGCACGTTTATTGCCAAGGCCCTCACTTGGACTAGAGCTACATGTAAGAGGATTCTGAGACTGAGCATAGTACTGAGAGTAAAGAAATCTATCTAGATTTGCCCAGGAAAAGGAGGAAAATATGCTTTGAGTGGATTGAAAAGGTGTCCTTAATACTAGTATCCAACATGTAGGGCCATTACATAATCAGCAAATAGCAAACTACAAGAAATACATGTAGTAGGACAAATCTTACACCTACCTACTCAGAGAATGCATAAAGGGATTTCAGCCCCAGTTCATGACAGGGGAAGTTGAAATATTAATAGGCAACCCTACAAGGAATCTGCTCCTGCTGCAGGAGAACTAGAATCAGAATGGGATACTATCTGATTTCCCCTTGAGGATCAAAAGACAAATTCATACTGCCAGTTACAGCTTGAATCTTCCCTTTTCAAGAGTTAGCAGCAGAGGGACCTTTATAAAGGGAAGACCTTGTAGCCATGTTCACTAACACTTTGTTTCAGTGGTTGTGCTAAGCTACGGGCTGAAAAGAACCAGGCAGTCCATCCAGACACCATCACCTCTGGACTTCACCATGCACCTTGTGCAGAAGGTTTTCTCTGCTAGTAGAGGAGGGCACTGTGGGATGAGGAATGGCAGGCTTAATACCTATGAGAAAGATGGTTTTTGCTTCCCATATGTTCCACATATTTTCTGGGATTATTCCTGATTTCCTTACATACTTTTGTGAAACTTCAGTTATACAACAAGATTTAGAGCAGTTGGGAACTGGGGTAAAGTAATATTTTTTGTTAGTTTTGGATTCAGGGGGTTGTTTTATATAAGAACAGAGGTGACTGATGTTTTAACTACTTCATGGAAACCTTCAACTGCACAGGGTGTAGCCACTTGGGAGACCTAAGGCAGACCACCCTGGATGAATCAAGAAGGGACTGAAGAAAAGGTGTAGAACAAAAAAATTAATTTCCTGACTTCTGGAATTTGCTCTTCAGGTTGTTCCCCTAGTAGCTGGATGCCAGAAACCTCAAAATACAATGCGGGACTTCAGTTCCTCTAGAGAGTTTAAGGAAGCATGGGAAGCAATAGTGAGGAAGTCCTTTATGAAGACCAAGAAACATTTATTTTAGACCAGGAAGCCACTTATGATCTGGTTGATGTTTGGGTTTAGGGGGACTTCTGTCTTCTTGTTTGTTTTTGAAGAGCCATTTTACAAGCCAAGAGGTCTGCTAGTCTAACACACATAACGAGAAGGGCAAAGTAGGTTGTACTTACGTTTCACTGTCTGTCATGTCCAGTAATTCAGATGGACCTGCAAGAAACAGTCAGATATGTCATATAGCATTTGTCTGCATGACTAGAAGAGTATGTCTACCAGGAGAAGATTCCCAGCACAAATACATAAAAGCAGCCAATTGAAAGCTCAACTTGAGCAAGTATGTCAAACTTTGATGTACTACTACTTGCTCGTGAGAGCCCTTGCACTAGCAAAATTCTAAATGCACAGCCACTGCTGGACTGTCATCACCAGGGAGTATCAGCCCCTAAATTATACTGGGAATGAATATTCATGGGGTTTATTTTCTCACTCTTCACCTTGCTCAATTAAGTGGTTCACATAAGTACAGTGCATTGAAAATGCTGATTTTTGGAACCCTGATATATTGCAAGTTAAAATCTATTGTTACTACTAGAGGGAAAATGTCATTAGGAAGTTGAAATTAGCCAAATTCCATCCTGAATGACATCCTTGTGCTACTCCATTTAATAGCATTATACAAAATGTAGATCAGGGTGGAATATTCCCAGCAGTCTTTATATTGATATGCAAATCCTGAACTCAACTGGTTAGCAATGATCAGGAAAGTAAGATTAAGAAAAACGAAAAGATTTTTTTAAGTGGGAAAAAAAAATGCATTTATGTTAATGTTCTTTTGTTCTTGATATTCACTGTAGGCAGATATTTATAGCAGCAAATTCCATCACTGAATTACAGTGATACAGAAAGGCTAGGATCTGGATAGCATTTGAAACAAGAAAAACTTTTCCCTTTGCAGTCTACTGTATCATTCTTCTCTCCACTGCTCTGGAGTATAGTGCCAGATGGTATGGGGCAGTTAGCAATGGGAACAGGGAAACTTTACAGGAATTTTCTTTCCTATGCAGGAATATTTCTCTTCAGCATACTCTGAAATTCAAGAGTCCTCAAGAACTTACAGCAAATCTCACCTGAAACTGAGGAATTTCACACTACTTACTTACAAAGGCCTACACACAACCTTTCACTCTGTGTGTGTGTCAAAACGCATCAGAGCAGTCGATCTTCACCTCACTGCTTTTGCAATGTACACATGCAGTATCACTGGGGGCTCCTAGAGCTGCAGGTAGCTCCTTCACTTCATCTTATGACATAATGAAAAGGGGTGGTGGCTTAGTCCCCAGTGCAAAGGGCATTGTATACCATTGCATGTATACCATGACAGTTCTCTAAGCTCATTAGCCAGTTGATTTTTAATGCAAAGCATCCTGACTCTGCCACCACACATCTCATCTCCACACTTGGTGGTTATGTGTTCACTCCTGCCTATCAAAAAGAAGAATCACTCATGACCCCTAAGCTCCCATAAGCATGAAGGGTAGAAGGGGCTAAGCAGTGCCTCTCACTGAGAGGAAAGAAAGGTAATGCCCTAGAAATTAAAAAGAATATTTAAAAAGCACATATGAAGAAATGGGCCCCTTTTCCATGCAAAAGTCATGTTCTCTCAAAAATAGAGGTAATTCCCCATTGCGTTATGCAATGACACATCCAGTGATAGGTAAGCAGGAATGGATTACAGTGTGTTAGAAAAGACACATTGCCAATATTATTTCTGTTCATGTACGGAGCAAGGAAGGTTGTGTTTCCAAGGTGGAACAGGGTGACTGGGCAGGCTGCATGGGGCATAGAGGTACTTGCCCTGAGAACAGGAAAAAGGTGTTAAAAGGTTAGGAGGAAGGATGGAGAGAAGTTAGAAGAATATGACTTGAGAAGGAGAAGAAGGGGTAGAGCGGACCTGGAGAGATAGGAAGCCAAGGGTGAAGAAAAATTAATCTGGCGCAGGAAGTAACAAGGCTGGGACAGAGGAGCTGAGTGCTGAGGACTGAGAGGGCAGCCTGTGAGTAAAGACCTGAGGAGATGACAGGTACATTCTGCCGAAGTGGAAAGGATGTTCTCCTGCATACTGTCCCAAATTAAGCATTTAATGGGAGAGCCCTGACTCCACCCAAGTCATGCATAAGGGCCAGATACTGAAGTTAATCAATTAGCTGCACAATACGATACCAAGATTCATTAATTTCATTCTCTCTGGCCTGTCTCTGAAGCTGGAATGTCCCAACTCACACACAGCCTGGGCTGTGCCCTTTACTTCTTCATTTTATTTTCACTTGTGCTTCTCTTAAACCATCTCACGCCCTCCTCCTAATTCCCTTTCCCCTCTTTTTTGGACCTCATTTTTATATGAGTCTCCCTGGCGCTGCCAACCGACCATTCCAAATCCCCCTCTGCCCCGGGACAAAAGCTGCACAGATGTGGGAAGGGCTGGCACTGGGAAAGCTAACGGCACTGTCATCCTGACCCAGCAGGGAGGCGGCTGTTTTACTCTGGGACAAGAGGCAGAGAAAGAAAAGGGGACCAAGGCGCAGAGAGAGAGAGGACAAAATAACCCAATAGAAATCCGGAAGGGAAATGCATGAGTGAGATTTCTATCAAGGAAAACAGCAGGGGGGGAAATAAAAACAAAAGATAGAAATGTGTGGAGAGGTGGAGGGAGGAAAAAAAAAGAGAGAGAGAAAGAGAAAAAGAGACTGGGGGGCTGAAGAATGGCAGGATGGGGACGGGGGATGGAGGGGGGGAGAAGTTCGCATGAAAGGAGCTGAAAAGCATGACACACCAAGGGGAAGCTCAGCTGAGATCATTCTCTTTCCTTACCATCATCCCTAGATGGTCTGTGTAGAATTATTAACCTTTTTACTTCTGTCCTTTTGCCCTCTTTCACTCCATGAAAGCTCTTTACCAGTTTCTCAGGAGGCAAAGCATCCTGAGCTGGGGATGGGAGGAGGGAAGGGAAGGAAATGCTCAAAAGAAGCTGCCCTTTCGCTGAGCTCTCTACAAAAACAAAAAAGAGAGTCTAAATGGCCATATTTTAGAGGCATTTCCGAAATATTCAGAACCACACACTCTGAAAGGCCTCTGGGCTCCCAGTATACTCCTCTCTGATGGCTGCAGTTACAGCTTCCCAAAGGAAACCCCCAGGTACTAATCCTTACCAGTTCCTTGTCCTGTCAGTCCTTCATAGAACTGGGGAAGAAGGGTATTTACTTTAAGCAGCAATTCCAGATGTTATCAGCACTTCTGGGTGTTTATCTGTCAAAACCCTCTTTGTTTAATAACTTGACTGAGGTTGTTATGTGAGGGACAACACTGGATTTGGTTTTTTACCTTTGAAGTGGAAACATTTTTAAAATAACAGTAATCTGGAAATTCAGAACTACTTCAAGCCTTTCCTCAACTTCACATTCTTCTCTTTTACCCAATGTGAAAATTAAATGTCTGTTTTTTCCTGCCAGTGTCTTTTAGCTCAGAATTCCCACTGTAACGTAGAGGATAGAGATTATAGGAGCATTCTTTCCACTCTCGCTCTGTCTTGTTGCCCTAAAATTTGGTAAACTTGCAAATTAAAATAGACTATTTTATACCTTTTGCCTTCTAAAAAAACTAACCTTTTTTCTGCTTTGGCCCCTCACAAATGACCTTAAAACACTCTGCAAATCCAGACATACTAACAAATGTCACACAAAATCACTCTCATTCAGTGTTGCTTTCTGATGACTATTCAAACTTTGTACCCAACATACATCTCTGTCATGGTAAAATCTGCTTTTCAAAAGCTTTCTTAGGAACTTCTGAATATGGTCAGGATGAAAATCTGAATTCACTGATGGCTCTTAACTCTGGACTTTTCAGTGCTAAGATTAACAAAAGTATCATCTTTTTTTACCAGAGGATGCTTTCTAATGAAGCAAGGATATTGAGGTTTGATGATATAGAAACGTTTAGGACAGGATGGTCCACATACTGACTGTTGCATCAGAAGTTCCCACCACAAACTCCTAAGGCAACTGTAAACATCTGCCCTCTCTTCTGTTTAAAATAGCCCAGATGAATTATAGAATTCTTGTTTGTCTTTTGAGTTTATAGAGAAGAGGAGAAGACAAGGACAAGACAAATGGAATTACTTGCATAATATTTATAAATTATAAATTTTTCACAACTGTCAGATAAAGGCTGCAAGCTAAGTACAAGTCGAGATGGTGATTTAGGAAGCCCCTTTTCTAATGGAACTTCTTAAGCCTTCCTCAGTTCTGTTTGTGCTAAGCAAGTAAACAGTTAACTCTTCTCTAATGTGTATGCATTAGGATGTGATGCAGTTGCTGACTGCAGCAAAAAGCAGCTGTGGTTCTGACACCTACTGAGTTTGGCCCTCAGTTTCTAGCTAAGTATTTCTTAGCTCAGCTACAGATGAGTCTTTAAGGCTGACCCTCCTACTAAAAGACAAATACTCCTGTTTTAGGAAGGCAATCTTGAACAACTGATAGGTCTGCAGATCTGCCCTTCCTGCACAGAAAATAGAGTGAAATTTTTTTGCTAGGGCAACAGCCAACACAACTCTTCCTGTAGCAATAAGCAGCTGTTGTCCTGACACCTACTACATTAGTGCTTCAGCTGCTATTCCAGGCTTGTGCTAGTCCACTGCTAAGTATTTGGCAATACTGCACAGCAGTCTCCTTGTGTGACTCATCTCTGCTATTTCTAATTTAAGATAGGCTATTTTCCTCCCTTAACATCTGAAATCATTCTGATCATGATCACAGAATAACCTTTCATATAATGCACCCTCCATGTTTTCAGAAAGCCATCTCCACAAAGGACAGCCTCAGCATCACTACACCATTTTTCCTCATCCATAATACTAGTTCTATGGGTCCCACTCCTGATTCACATTTGATTCACTGCACAATTTTCAAACTGAGCAGTTAAAATTCCTGATGCAGGGAGTTTTGTCTTGTATTTTGCTGTTGGTTTTTTAGAGATATTCAGAAGATTTTTTTTTTCCCCTGTGTGGTTAATAACAGGTTTTCTGTGCTGTGTGCTTGAGGGTGTTTTACAGCGCAATTCCTACTAACATTAACTGTCTCCAGCCGTGTATGGGAAGCAGACAAACTACAGAGGAAGTGCAGCTGGGCAGAGGCAATTGCCAGAACAGGAGTAAGGCTTATTTTTATGAAGGGTGGATATTGGCAGAAATGAGAAGCTAGATACGGGGGAAGCCTCAGATATGAGTAGTGTTGGATCAGGTCATACACAGTAATTAACGTTGAGAAGATGCCAGATGCCAGAGAATGTAAAGAAAACAAGGACATTATGATGATGATGATTCAGCAAAAGAGCTCATTTGTGACTGAGAAGTGCCCAGGGTAGAAATGAATTTCATTAATTGCTTGGTGGGAGAAGAGAGGAGGCCTCTATTAGAGCATTGTCCCATGCACCCTCTGATCCTCGGAGAATGTTAAACAAACAATGCATTTGGAGAAGCCCAGAGGACATATGTCTGGAAAGCTGGAAAAGCTTCCTGCCATCCTTGGGGATAAAAAGGGGAGAGAAGAACTGAGCTGACATTTACTCAACCTTCTGATTTGTCTTTGACCAACAGTCCGTAATCCCTCACATTTCTCTGTTTACTTCAAAAATTCCCATGGATTCCCTGCTTAAATCCTCACCAGTTTAAATTATCTCATTTTAAACCTTCCCCAAAAGAACAGTAACTGAGTCAGACTTTGACTAAGTTAAGGAATATGTGTCTAAGAAAAATCCAGGGGGGTATCTATGACAGGGAACTGGCACAGGTCACGTGCAGGGTTAAAAGGAGACCAGGGGCAGTAAGAAAATAAGGCAAAATTATGCCTGCCTACAGAATTCAGTGGCATATATATGCACTGTGACTAATGAGATAATCCAGAGCAGTTAAATAGGAGGTAGAATTAGCACTGTAAGGCCTCTTAGAACTGGTGAGAAAAATAGCCGTTATTTGGATACAAGGCCAACTGCATTGAGCTATCCATATGTAGGTATCTACATGTAAAACAGTAAAAGAGCAATTCAGCCCCCTCAGTCAGATATTTGGGGCACAGTTCAGATGCTTACACAGATATTTTGTGCCAGTAGATATACCTATGGGCAAGCCTTGTGATGCATGGAATAACAGGGATGCCTGCTTGGGCTTTGGCTGCCAGTCCAGGTTGGTCCTCCTCTAGGCCTTGTGTGACATCTTGTAGACCCAAGTAAATGCCCTGGATATCCAAATGGATAGTCAAATGATATTAGATGTTTATGTTTATCTAAATGAATAAGGTGCACAGGTCACCTGAATCACTTGCTGGGCTACAATGACTACCTCGACCAGGATCTCCCTTGAGTTAGTCATGCAAAAAGTCTGCTGCTAATAAGGATGCCCTCCTCACTTCCATCTGCCACTGAAAGAGGACACGTCTCCTCTTGTACCTCTGTCATACAAGAGGAAATGAACTAAGTCACAGATTGCTGTTGACAGTATGGGAACTTAGACCTACAGACTACCTGACACCTCCATGTTAACACCTAATTTAGGAGGCCAACTGGAACAGATGGATTGTTACTTTTTCCTTTCTTATAAGCTGTGTTTTTTTCTTCTCTCTCAACAATTTCTGCAATAGCCTTGGAGCATTAGCTAACACTTATTCCATTTGCCAGAGGCAGTCTCTGTGTTCAGTGCTAACACTGCTGCTGGAACAACGTAGCTGATTTTGTCATTCAGAAGCCAAAATAGCCATTGATATTTTGAAGTGGAGTCAGAGAGTAGTTACAAGAATGTTTAAATAACTAGAAAACTTTTCTTACAGTGCAGGAGGCTGATAACTGTGACTTTAGCTTTACATGCAGAGCAGTGTCTGTACTACTGTAGAACTCTCCAACAATAAGAGAACAAGATTACTGTAGTTCAACAGGCAGAAACTCCTAAATGTGACTGCCTCAGACACAAACATATTGCTGCATAGCCTGTGTAAAGATGCCTGCAATCCCTGCTACTGGCAAAGATAAGAAGAGCCAAAAGGAAAAAAGGGCAATGGCATGATCACAGCCTATAAATATGAAATGGAGATCATAAATTTTTGCTATTAGATCATCTTGAATCTAACAGAGACGTAATACTGTAAGGTTGCAATGAAAGCTAAGTGAATTCAATCTAGAAATAAGTAAACAGATTCCTGATCAGTGTGTTACTAAATATTGAAATAATAGCAATAATTGTATGGGGTCTCCAGCCCTGTAAATGTTTTAATAGAGATTAGATGCTTTCTACACATATGCTTTAATTGAAAAACAGTTCAGAGGATTGCTATGGCAGAGGTTCTAACTAGAGCATCACACTGCTTCTTCACAGCCCCCCAAATGATGCAGCTGTGAAAACACCATCCTCCTCAAAAGCCATTCTAATTTTTGTTTTCACACTTTATCTGGAGCCATTACTGCCATTGCTGTCACATTCCCAGCCTCCTGCTCACACACGCTGGACATTTTGCTGAGGGAGACTACAGATAAGTGAGGGCACTTTCAACTGCACGGTATGGTTTTACCTGAGTGACACTTGGCTTAAATACAAGCTCTCTGTGGATTTGACTACTGTGACTCACCATGTTCCAGGATGTATTTCACAATCTCTCCATTCCCAGTCTTGGCAGCATGGTGCAACAAGGAGCAGTGATCAGGTCCTTGGATTAACAAATTGGCTCCTTTTTTACAGCATTCTATGAACTGGGAAGAAAGGAAAGAAAAAAAAAGAGAGAGAGAGGAAAAAAAACACACAGAAGGATAAGTTGGGAGGAACAGGAAAACAAATGCAGGTAAATTTCTTTACCAGTTTTCATAGGAGGTCAGTACAAAAAATGGACTAAAATAAAATATTAATTTTAAGCCAGCTTTTAAGTTCCAATGTAAAACAACTGAAACTAGAAGTATTGACAATTATATGAGTTAAGAAGAATAGTGTATGTTCCCTAAAACTTGAGACACTGCTACTCTACTGTTGATGAATTATCGCTCGCTATCAGTGCTTGCAAACATATGGTGAAACTGTTGGGATATTTTAAAATGTATGTACTTGATAGAAAATCCTGGCTTCTCTACTGAAAATTCCAATTTTTCCTCAGCAGAGGGGCCAAACATTTTCTGACTAAATCAGAAAACTCCAACTCAAAATTCCAGAGGGAGGTGAGGTAACTATCCCAGATCTCTATTCGCAGTCTCTGCCCAGTGTTTGAAGCTGGCAGAGGGGGAAGCACTATATGGGGTAAGAATGAGAGAGAAATAGAGGGAAAAAGCCAGGTCCCAGGAATGCTGCAGACTTTGGGAAGGAATGGAATGTGGGATTTGTAGTGCAAATCACTGCAGAAAAGTGAGAAAACTGCAGCAGTGAGGCATTAATTATGATGCTGGACATCCAAAGAAGGGCAAGAAGTTTCCCTGTCAAAGCCAACTTATGCAAAAACTTTTCAAGAAGTGGAAAGGAGGCAATATTTTTATGACTGCTGGTTGAAGGACTGCTCTCTCGGTGCTGCAGCCACAAGGGCTGAGGCAGTGGTATAGAAGGGGCACATGCAGGTAAAAAGTTGGCCTAACAGCGCTGTCATTTTTATAAATAGCTCCTAGCTAGCTTCTCACAGATAAAATGGCAATCATTAATCATAGTCCTCATCCAAATTCGAGGGCATTTTTTCAAATCCTGACTTGGCTACCGAAACACGCAGCTTGATTAGCTGTCTGACATGGGACCACAGTCTTAGCGGAAAAAAAACATTTTTGAGTACTTTTTCCTCCCAAACTAACTATACAGAGACATTAAGTATTTTGAGACATTCATCAGATGATAAAACAACCAGCTGAGGTTTGTTCTATCTGGTCTGCTGGTTGCCTAGGTAGACATTAAATGATCTATCAACTCAGGGGGCTTGGCCACCAACCTCACTGGTGTAAAATATCCCCTGCTAGGTAAGGCTGTGTCAGAACTACCCTGCTGTTCAACATAGTAATTTCCCTGTTAGTAACTGGCACAGTGCTTCATGCAGTGGCTATGAATCCTGAGCTGAAAGGTGCTGTCTAACACCAGATTCTATTCACTCAAAGTTCACACCTCACCTGACTGATGTGTTCCCCTAGTATTCAGGGTTTCCTGGAAAGGTTGTAAAATGGCACTTGCCAGCAGTCCCTATAGCAGTCTATTTATATTTTGAGCAGAGGTGTGATAAAATTTACAATATATCAGACCAGCAAAAACTGTGAATAAGTGGACACTCAGTGCTCTGTACTTACCTTCAGTAGATCACCAGATATTGCAGCCTGTAAAAGTGCTGCAAAGACAAATAGAAAACTAATGTCAGGCAGAAAGCATTATGCATACAGCCTCACAGCTGAGAACACAGCTCATAGTATATGCACTTTGAGACTGACACCTCAGTCTGCTTGCATTCTCCTGTACTACCAAACCAATGTAAAACCTGCACTAACACTTATTGGAAAGGCAGAAGACTACCCATGTTACATGAAAGCTGTATGGACATCAAGCCAGCATTTCCAATGCTGTCCTGAAATTGCATGCTTCTATCTAAATTTTTCCCTTGAGACACTTCTGCTCTTTTCAACAGCGTCCACAGAGCTGTCCAAGTTTCTGGTACCTGAGCCAGCACTGAAGATATCAATGACATCCACACAGAAAACCTGAAAGAAGCTTCAGACCTCTCAAACTCTGTCATACTGGTGGTGGAATAGCCAGTCAGCCTCCAACACACTGAGAATTCCAAGTTACAGATGACTAAGTGGTAAGAGAAATTTCTTAATAATTATTTGAATTGCAAAAACATTTTGAGATGCCAGTGGGGAGCAAGTCCCCTGGGTTTGGCAGGCAAGGCCAAACACAAAGCAAGAGCCAGTCTTCACCTTTTCAGCCTTTGTATTTTAAACAGACGCAGAAGGAGAAAGAGACAAAATGGACAAAGGCTCACAACAAGGTAGGACAGAGCTGCACATAGAGCCAGGAGCTTCCTACTACCCAATTGTGTCTGCCCTGAGCCCATTAAAAGGAAGAAGAAAGGCAAAAAAGCCTGGAACTCTGTATTTCCCTGAGAGGCTGTTACAAGCCAAACACTACATAGTTATCTCCCTTTTTCCTCCTTCTCTCTATCATGATATATATTGCAAAAAACAATTATGAACAATCTTTCTGAGAAAGCAGTTACATGGTTTGCATCTTAGAAAGTGTTAAACATCTGTCTCAGTTCATGCTTTTTCAAGTATGTTCAAGCCCATCTCTATCTTTGAGTCTAGGCAGTGCAATCAAATTAAGAATTTGTTCAAGTGCCATCTTTGATAAAGATGCCAAAAGTTCACATAGGGGGAAAAAAACCCATAGTATAATTTTGCCTCTGAAAAATAACACAGAGGAAACTGCACAGTGTGAATTCCATGAGGAGCTTGTTATGCCTTCAGAAATTACAACACATCCAAGCTAAACATTACAGAAGAGGAAGGATGTTCAAAGGCATCTCAACAAAAGTGCTTTTCTTTGAAAATATGTGGGGTTATGTGGCTTTCTGGTCTCAGTAATGCCTCATGCCCTGGCCAGGTAGCAGTGGGAAAAGCAAAAACCTAGTCCAGCTAAGTTGTGACTTAGGAAAGCAGTAGCAGCAATTTTTGCAACCTCAGATTTAGGGCAGTTTTTCAATGATCATGTGTCCTACAAATCCCCCTGCACTGTGGGAATGAGGATACATAGATTTTAAGAATGGAAAAAGGTAAACAGCAGTGAGTAAGAGCTAGAAAAATACATGTACATCTTTTTTTCAGTTTTCATTTTCAGTGGTTTACATCCTGCTTCTTTCAGTCTCAGTCCAAATCAACAGCAGAGCAGAATTTAACCCTTGTGTCATTTGTTTTACTTTTTTTCCCATCAATCTCATCTCACTGCCACCTTTATTTTGTAGGCTACTGCTGCCTGGACTTTTATATATATTTTTCTCTCCTCACACATGCGAAAATCAAATTATCTGGTGACACCAGTTATTCACATTCTTCCTCACCCAGTTTTTTAAGACATGGCTTCCCTGAAGTCACTTCCTAAGAGGCATACATTTTCCTATGCAAGCCATGCTTAAGATTAGAGTTCAAAAAAGCGAGGAGAGAAATCTATGATTCTGTGAAGAGAAAAACCTGACGAGATGTGAAAAACCTTCTATGTTGAGTATGCATAACCAGAAGTTGGTCTGGTGATAAGGCTATTAGGATAAAGCAGCTCTAAAACACATTGAACATAATTAGACCAATCTTTTCCTCTCTTCCCTAAGCCTCAAATCCAGCAAAGCATTTAGGCAGGTGCTTAGCTTTGAGCTAATTACATTCTTTTCACACCAAGTCTACCTGCACTCTTAAAATTAAGTGCTTTCCTGGAGAAGAACCTATTGCATAAATGAATATATCATAGATCAACAAAACCAGCTGGCATAACAAGAGATTAGACTACAGTAAAATAATGCAGGAAGATTTAGAAGTTACTGAGCTAGAAACGAAGAAAGGTTCTTTAGAATAGGGAACATGCTTAAATAAACATACGAATATTGCTTCGCACACTAACCCTATAAATTGAAATGGGACTGCTGGGCATATGGAGGAGGAGAGTGAAGATGGCAAAAATCACCTGGTTGTTAAAGAGGTGATGAAGCAAGCAAGCAGATGGCACTGACAAGAGAGAGCAGACTGAGAAATTGGAGAAAAATGCTGTTAACATGCAACGCCAAGCTAGCTTAAAATTAAAAACATTAAAGCGGTAATTGTTTTATTCTTTCTAAGCAAACCACACCACTGGTTTAATAAATAAAATTAATTATGCCATTGTTTTATCATATGTAAAATACCTTCAAATCCTGAAGTTATCTCAAAAATTGCTTGATTTAATAAATAATTTAATTAAGTCATTATTTTCTCAACTTCTCCTGAAACAATCATTGGTCATGACTAATAAAAATGTTTTATTACCTTTTATATTTATTTAGCAAGCAGATTTATTGTTGATGAAAGGTGACTGAAGTGCTCCGGAAACTCTCAGTCGGCACTGGTGCTGAACTCCCCAGGCTGCCTTCCCAGGAAATCTCAGCCCTCTCTACTGGTACAGCCCCTACTCTATCACCGACTTCTATGCTAAAATTGCCAGCAAATGTGTCAATCACTGCCAAGGTTGATGGATCTTGACAGAAACAGTTACCTGCTAGGATATGGACTGCCAGAAATGCAGGCGATCTATGTAACAGCAGCTTCCAGTTTCCACTGGGTGAATTTTGAAATTGAGATTCTAACTACCCCTGTGGGCCAACTTACAAAAGAATCCTCATTAAAAAAAAACCAACCGACCAACCAAAAAAAAAAATTCATTAAAAAAAAAACAACCAAACAAAAAACCAAACCCACTGAACACAAATGAAAACCAAAACACCATAAAAACACTGACCTCAAAACAAACCCCCTCACACACACACTTGACTTGTAAATTAAATATTGAACAGACACAAGTGGATAATGCACTAACAGAAAAAAAAGCCTTGTCAAAAAGGCTGCTAATTGAATTCTGGTAATGCTGCAAGCTAGTGCAGCTCGAGTCACAGGATAAACAACTCCCAGTACACTCACATATGCTGAAAACAACACTGTTCCTATGGCATGTGCCACTCATCTAACTTCTATGTGTCCACTGGAAACAGGTATTTTCATTTCATACTCTAAAAATATATGTTAATGTCACTGAGTGACAACAAACATCTTTGTTTCCCAGACATAAAATTAACTTATGAAATATCAATTGCTCTCTGGTTCTGCTTATGAAGCCAGCATCACTAAAACAGTGCTTCAAAATCAGTCATTAAACACTAGGAAACAAATAACAAAGGAGCGAGGTATTTGTACCCAGCAACTCCAGAGGCTGCAAGATGTCTAAGAGGTCTCATAGGGCTGCTTGGATACTCAGAAGAGAAAAATACCTCTCCATAGAAAATAACACGGTGTCTGCTGCAATAGTTCATGTTATGCATCTCCCTCCACAGACTACAGAATCTCTAGAGAAAATGACCTCCAACTTGTCTAAATTAAGAGTCAAACTACAACTGAGGGGATCCTTCGGAATGGCATGATTCCGGGGGACATGTCTGATCACCTCCAAGAAGGATAACAGAACAAGAGGAAAATAAGAAGTCCCCCTTTTAAGGGTTTCCTTTCCAAGATATGATACTCCTGCCACCAGGCAATGCTCTTGGTCTCAGAAATTTTGTGAGTTCTTTGCATACAACACAGGTGCAGCATGAGAATGACTCATAAATGTAAGGGCTAACAAAGACAGACCTATGACTGTAACACATTCAGACAATACAGTAGGAGGGGCAGAAGTCACCACCTCCACCTCACTTGCTTCAAAAGCCATGAAAATTCTCAGAAGCACCACAAGTAAGGAAAACCTCAATCTTCCCCTTCCTATCTGCCCTGTAGAAAAACCTTCTCCTCATCCCAAGGCTGCTGATCAGCTTAACACCAAGGACAGAAGCCAGGCTCATCACCAGGTTACTATTACATCAGAACTCTGCTGCTAAAACACTTTCAGAAAAAGCATGAAGAAAAAAACTCTTATAAGCCCTTGTAAGTAACATCTCAGGATCTCAAGTTTCTTTGCTTAAAATAGGTTGATATGGAAGATATTTACCAAGTTAGTTAAATAATTATTAGTGAGTCAGTAAAAGTTGGTCTGCACTGGAAAGAATCTCAAAGAACAGGACAGTTCAACAGTCTGACACCATCAGCAGTACAGGGGTAATGTGCCTTTTCAATGACTAAAAGTTATTCATAAACCATAAATATCTTCCAGATTTCATTAGTCAGATTGCACACCTGATCTGACCCTTTCAGAGCCATATTTGAATGCACTACTGCTGTACCAAGCCATATAGAATGATAATAAAAAAGTGAATAAATTGAAGTCTAAAAATTGTGACTGGAGGGAGTAGAATTACATAAATCTATGTTATAAAGTATAAGTATCACACAAAAGAGTTGTCACATCCATGGCTGATTAAAATGCAGCCTATTATGGATCTATGAATGAAATGCAGTGTGGGAGCAAAGTATTATTTGCAATAATACATCTTACCATGACTGAAAAAATACCAGGCTAACAGTGCCTCTAATCAGAGTATGATAATGTTTAAGCACGTGAAAAATTATGGCAGAATTCAACTACCATAGCTCAACACTGATTGGAGGGATCTTGGGAAACCTGACCCAGTGGGTGGCATCCCTGCCATGGCAGGGGAGTTGGAAC